TGGTGCTGGTGGTGGTGGTGGTGCTGGTGGTGGTGGTGGTGCTGGTGGTGGTGGTGGTGCTGGTGGTGGTGGTGGTCCGGCAAAAACAACCCCCCTACCGCCTCGCGGTACCGGACGGGCAGCTCCGTCGTGGACAGTGCTGTGGGGGGGGGGGTGAGGGCCAATTCCGATTGGCCCCTCCACTCACGGCGTCTGTGACCACCACAGGGTGCTAAGCGGGGGGCTCTGGACGGGTGCGAGGGGCTGGTAACCCCTCCACCTTCAATTAATTACCAGGAAACCACGATTTCAAACTTTAATTAAGCTTGTGCCGGAGGCCCCGGGGGGACAGGCGTCTGTGACGTCTCCTGGCCTAACCCCCAATTGGCGGAGCCAGGAGATTGAATCTTTAACCTCGGGGCTCCTCCAGAAACTACGAAAAGCCACTTCGTGTGGCCACGTGGAATGTTCGAACGCTCACTGCGGAGGAGAGGCTGCCGCTCCTCTGTCGGGAGCTGGACCGGTACCGCCTGGATCTCTGCGGCATTCAGGAGGGTCCGGTGGACCGGTTCTGGCTCCTGCCACCGTGAGGGGTGGACAGTCCTCTACTCGGGGCAGCAGACTGCCAAACAACAGGGAGTGGCTCTTCATCTGAACAAAAGAATGAAGGGGGCGTGGGAGCGTGGCGGTGAGGTGTGGGAAGCTGTAAGCCCCAGGCTACTTTGGGCTCGCCTTCCCATCAACTGGAGGCGAGGAGTGGTGGTCGTGGTTACTTATGCCCCCACCGAAGACGAACATCCGTGGAAGGATGCAGGCAAGGCCGATGAGTCAGATGCCTTCTATGACCTCCTGTCACAGGTGCTGGCTAAAGTGGCCCCTCGGAATAGAGTCATCTTGTTGGGTGACTTCAATGCCCGAGTTGGTCATGATGCTGGCACCTGGTCTGGAGTAATTGGAAGGCATGGGCCAGATCAGCTCAATAACAATGGCAGGAGGCTGCTAGTTTGTGTGCAGCCCATGGGCTTGTAATTACCAACACGCTGTTCCGGCATCGGCGCATCCACACATCATGGATGCATGCCGGGTCCAAGCAAGAACATCTGCTGGACTACATAGTGATGGAACAGCGGATACGGGCACATGTCATTGACACCAGGGCCTACCGTGGAGCTGATCTGCCCTCTGACCATCGACTTGTCATCTGTAAGATGTGCCTACCATTTTTCCACTCCGGTGGTGGGTGTACACCCAGGAACCCATTCAAATATAAGGTGGCCTTGGTCTCAGTTATCTGATGAAAGTTGCAAGAGAGAATTTCATCATCGCTTGCGGCTGAGGTTGGCATCGTCCCCCACTCCTCCTGATGTCGAGGGTAAATGGGTGAGGTTTAGGACTGTGACTTAGGCAGCTGCAATGGCTGCTTTGGGTACGCGGTCCAGACCTCCCCAGATACCCTGGCTGACAGAGGAGGTGTTCAGGATGGTTGAGAAAAAGCAACAGGCCTCAATGGCCCGTGATCACAAATCCATAATTAACTCCATCAAAAAAGTAACCTGCAGCGCCACACCTATTACCATCATTACGGGAAAAACGGTGATCCAATCTCCGACCCTCAGGAACAGGTTTGCAGATTTGCTGAGCGTTTCTGTAAAGTCCTGGGGGAGGGGAAATCCCTCGACATGGAAAACATCGATTTAAAGCGTCCGTCTGAACGGGGCCCGTAGCTATCCGTGGTGCTGAAGTTGAGGGCTCTTTGTTCCTCTCACACAGCTTAAAGGTCGTGATCTGAACGTGGCTCTTTCACTCCAGCGCTGTCCTACCAGACAGTCTCGTCCCTTCACCTGATGAAGGCCGCTTGTGTTGTGGCCGAAACGTCGTGAGAATATTATTGTGTTATTTTATTTTATCAATTTATTATTTTATTCTCATTCTACGTGACTTTGGAAGACGTCACCCCCTGTGAGTGGCTGTCTGAGGTGCCATCTGCTGAGGAAGTATTGAAGGTGATCCGGAGTCTGAGACCAGGAAAGGCACCAGGCAGAGATGATCTCCCAAGCGAAATGCTGAGGGAGGGTGGCGTTTGTGCACAGACTGCCCTATATGACATAACAACAGTCTGGACCACTGGATGGGCTCTGCAGGATTGGAAAGATGCCCTTGTGGTCCCCCTCTTTAAGAAGGGGGACCGCACAGACTGTAACAACTACAGGGGCATCTCACTCCTCAGTGTGCCGGCAAAAGTCCTGGCAAGGATTATTCAACATTGCCTTGCCAGGCACGCTGAGGAGAGGCTTGCGGAGCCCCAATGCGGTTTCAGGAAAGGGCGGTCCTGCACAGATGCCATATTTTCTGTCCGTCTGCTACAACAGAGGTGTAGGGAATTCCAACAAGACCTACATCTCTGCTTTATTGACCTGGTCAAGCCCTATGATCCCATCAGTAGGCCTGGGCTCTGGGTTGTTCTTCGTGCTTTCGGAGTCCCTGACCTTCTGCTCACGCTCATTAAGGACCTTCATGATGGTGAGCGGGCCCGGGTAAAACTGCGTGGCTGGGAGTCAGAGCCATTCCCTGTACATCTTGGGGTGCGACAGGGATGTGCTCTGGCTCCCACATTATTTAACATCTATTTTCACCACGTACTTCGTGAAGCCTTCAATAGCTGTACTGGAGGAATTTCCATTTGGTACAGATATAATGGGAGGCCGATCGATGCCCAGGTGCAGTCAAGGGACGGCACCCTATTGCTCAACCACATTGTGTATGCCGATGATTTGGTAATAGCTGCTCATTCAGAGGAGGAGTTAGAGACGCTGCTGCTGAGACTGGAGCGTGCCACTAAGAGGTGGGGCCTTACCATCAGCCCCACCAAAACTAAGCACCTACCTGGGTATTTTGTACCATCGGACACTCCATCCCCACAACTCCCAATCGGTAATGGGGCAGTTGTGGAGAGAGTGGAGAGTTTCCCATACCTGGGCAGTGTGCTCATGACCGGCTCCAATTTAACAGCAGAGGTCTCACTCCGAATCAGTCGAGCGGCAATATCTTTTCATCGGTTGCGTAACGCTGTGTGGAAGCTACCTGGTCTGTCGCTCCGCACTAAGCTTCAGGTCTTCTCGGCCACGGTCATTCCCTCCCTTCTCTACACTTGCGAAACGTGGACCCCCTTAATGGAGCATCTTCGCCGGTTGGAAACATTTAGGCTGGCCTGCCTACGATCCATCCTGGGTTTAACCAGGCTGGATTGTGTGAGGAGCTCACAAATCCTTGAAAGATCTGGGCAAGGTCCCATCGGTGAGCTCCTCCGGCAGGCAAGGCTGCGATGGCTGGGTCATGTAGCCCGCATGCCCAGCCACCGCATGCCGAAACAGCTTTTGTTCAGCCGGATCGAGAGGGATAAACGGGCGCGGCACGGGCTAGAGAAGAGATGGAGTGATGTGGTACAGGAGGACGTGGAGCTGAGTGGACTTGCCGATGACCGGTACCAGTGGTGTCAAGATCGGCCTCTGTGGAGGAGGCTCGTGAAGGATGCTACTGGGCAGTTGGAGGCAGTCGCCCTCCAACAACAACGGAGGGCGGAGGAGCGACGCTCACAACAACGAGCGGAGCGCCGGGTGGCTAAAGCGCAGCAGGTTGGCACAGTAGGGGGCACAGGTGGTGCATCAGCCAGTCATCTCAGTCAGTCCACCCGTGGCACCTGCTGGGTCTGCCCCGTGACCTCCTGCCAGCGGGCGTTCGACACTTCACGTGGCCTCAGGGTGCACATAGCCTGGCACAAGCGTCGTGGTGACATCACCGCCACTTAGTGGCGAATGGCGGTTGTTGTGTATGTGTATATGTGTTAGTGTGTGTGTGTGTGTTTATGTGTGTACGTGTGTGTGTCTGTGTGTGTGTCACCAGCTCCTGCTGTTTCTGCTGCGTTCTCCTCCTCATCTGGGCCTTGTATTGGCTTGCTAGGAAATGCCTGCAGGCACACACGGTCACACACAAACACACACAAACACAAACACACACAAACACAAACACACACAAACACAAACACACACAAACACACAGTCACACACGGTCACACACGGTCACACACGGTCACACACAGGCACACACGGTCACACACAAACACACACAAACACACACAAACACAGGCACGCACGGTCACACACAAACACACAGGCACACACGGTCACACACGGTCACACACGGTCACACACAGGCACACACAAACACACAGGCACACACAGGCACGCACGGTCACACACAGGCACACACAGTTACACGGTCACACACGATCACACACAGGCACGCACGGTCACACACAAACACACACAAACACACACGGTCGCACACGGTCACACAAAGGCACGCACAAACACACACGGTCACATGGTCACACACAAACACACACGGTCACACACAAACACACACAAACACACATAGTCACACACAAACACACACGGTCACACACAGGCACGCACAAACACACACGGTCACATGGTCACACACAAACACACATGGTCACACACAAACACACACGGTCACATGGTCACACACAAACACACACGGTCACACACAAACACACACAAACACACATGGTCACACACAAACACACACGGTCACATCGTCACACACAAACACACACGGTCACACACAAACACACACGGTCACACACAAGCACACACAAACACACACGGTCACACACAAACACACACAAACACACATGGTCACACACAAACACACACGGTCACATGGTCACACACAAACACACACGGTCACACACAAACACACACGGTCACACACAAACACACACGGTCACACACAAGCACGCACAAACACACATGGTCACACACAAACACACATGGTCACACACAAACACACACAAACACACATGGTCACACACAAACACACACGGTCACACACAAGCACGCACAAACACACATGGTCACACACAAACACACACAAACACACACGGTCACACACAAACACACACGGTCACACACAAACACACATGGTCACACACAAACACACACAAACACACACGGTCACACACAAACACACACAAACACACATGGTCACACACAAACACACACGGTCACATGGTCACACACAAACACACACGGTCACACACAAACACACACGGTCACACACAAACACACACGGTCACACACAAGCACGCACAAACACACACGGTCACACACAAACAAACACGGTCACACACAAGCACGCACAAACACACATGGTCACACACAAACACACATGGTCACACACAAACACACACGGTCACATGGTCACACACAAACACACACAAACACACATGGTCACACACAAACACACACGGTCACACACAAGCACGCACAAACACACATGGTCACACACAAACACACACAAACACACACGGTCACACACAAACACACACGGTCACACACAAACACACATGGTCACACACAAACACACACAAACACACACGGTCACACACAAACACACACAAACACACACGGTCACACACAAACACACATGGTCACACACCGTCACACACGGTCACACACAGGCACACACGGTCACACACAAACACACACAAACACACCGTCACACACAGGCACACACGGTCACACACAGGCACGCACGGTCACACACAAACACACACAAACACACAAACACACACAAACACACCGTCACACACAGGCACACACAGGCACACACAGGCACACACGGTCACACACAGGCACGCACGGTCACACACCGTCACACACAGGCACACACGGTCACACACAGGCACACACGGTCACACACAGGCACACACGGTCACACACAGGCACACACAGTCACACACAAACACACACAAACACACACAAACACACCATCACACACAGGCACACACAGGCACACACAGGCACACACGGTCACACACAGGCACGCACGGTCACACACCGTCACACACAGGCACACACGGTCACACACACGCACACACAGTCACACACGGTCACACACAGGCACACACGGTCACACACAAACACACACGGTCACACACAAACACACACGGTCACATGGTCACACACAAACACACACGGTGAGCGAGTGAGTGAGCGAGTGAGTGAGCGAGTGAGTGAGCGAGCGAGTGAGTGAGCGAGCGAGTGAGTGAGCGGGTGAGTGAGCGGGTGAGCGAGTGAGTGAGTGGTTGAGTGAGTGAGTGAGTGGTTGAGTGAGTGAGCGGGTGAGCTGTAGTCCACCCGTGCTGCTGCCTCTCCCTCCTCCGCTGGTTCTCTCTGCGCTGCTCCTCCAGCTCCTCCAGCGCCGCTTTCTGCTGCACCAGCCGGGCCCACTCCATCTCCAGCTCCTGGCCCTACACACACAAAGCTCCCCCAGGTAGCCTCTAGCAGCGCTGTAGGGGCAAGTGCTGCTAGTAGCGAGTAGCACCACCTATGATGTACACACACAGACAAAGCTCCCCCAGGTAGCCTCTAGCAGGGCTGTAGGGGCAAGTGCTGCTAGTGGCGAGTAGCACCACCTATGATGCACACACACAGACAAAGCTCCCCCAGATAGCCTCTAGCAGGGCTGTAGGGGCAAGTGCTGCTAGTGGCGAGTAGCACCACCTATGATGCACACACACAGACAAAGCTCCCCCAGGTAGCCTCTAGCAGGGCTGTAGGGGCAAGTGCTGCTAGTGGCGAGTAGCACCACCTATGATGCACACACACAGACAAAGCTCCCCCAGGTAGCCTCTAGGCTGTAGGGGCAAGTGCTGTTAGCTACCACCACCTATGAAGGCTACCGGCACTGTGGCACACACAGAGGGGGTGGGTGGCCAGCACCACGCCCGGCCGCCTTTGTCTCTCTCCCAGTGCTAGCGATGTTTACACACTGCACCAGGTACTCATTTCAGGCTGAGTCGACCTAGGGGAGGTCCAGGACCGGTTCAGATAATCGTCACTGGTGGTGGTGGCTGTGAGCGGGAATCAAACTCGGGTCGCCAGGTTCATAGCGCAGCGCTAACCACTACACTATCACACACACACACAGACACACACACAGTGTACACACACACACACAGACACACACGTACACACGCACAGACACACACACGTGTACACACACAGACACACACAGACACACACGTACACACACACAGTCACACTTGTACACACACACAGACACGTACACAGACACACACACAGACACACACGTACACACACACAGACACACACACGTGTACACACACAGACACACACGTACACACACACAGACACACACACGTGTACACACACAGACACACACGTACACACACACAGACACAGACACACACAGACACACACAGACACACACAGACACACACGTACACACACAGACACACACGTACACACACACAGTCACACTTGTACACACACACAGACACGTACACAGACACACACACGTACACACACAGACACACACACAGATAGACACACACACACAGATAGACACACACACGTACACACACACACAGACACACGTACACAAACACACACAGACACACACGTACACACACAAACGTACGTACACACACAGACACACGTACACAACAACAACCGCCATTCGCCACTAAGTGGCGGTGACGTCACCACGACGCTTGTGCCAGGCTATGTGCACCCTGAGGCCACGTGAAGTGTCGAACGCCCGCTGGCAGGTCACGGGGCAGACCCAGGTGCCACGGGTCGACTGACTGAGATGACTGGCTGATGCACCACCTGTGCCGGAGGAGCTCACCGATGGGACCTTGCCCAGATCTTTCAAGGATTTGTGAGCTCCTCACACAATCCAGTCTGGTTTAACCCAGGATGGACCGCAGGCAGGCCAGCCTAAATGTTTCTAACCGGCGAAGATGTTCCATTCGGGGGGTCCACGTTTCGCAAGCGTAGAGAAGGGAGGGAATTACCGTGGCCGAGAAGACCCGAAGCTCAGTGCGGAGCGACAGACCAGGTAGCTTCCACACAGCGTTACGCAGCCGATGAAAAGATATTGCCGCTCGACTGATTCGGAGTGAGACCTCTGCTGTTAAACTGGAGCCAGTCATAAGCACACTGCCCAGGTATGGGAAACTCTCCACTCTCTCCACAACTGCCCCATCACCGATTGGGAGTTGTGTGGGTGGAGTGTCCGATGGTACAAAATACCCAGGAAGGTGCTTAGTTTTGGTGGGGCTGATGGTAAGGCCCCATCTCTTAGTGGAACGCTCCAGTCTCAGCAGCAGCGTCTCCAACTCCTCCTCTGAATGAGCAGCTATTAATAAATCAGCATACATAACGTGGTTGAGCAATAGGGAGCCATCCCTTGACCGCACCCGGGCATCGATCAGCCTCCCATTATATCTGTACCATATGGAGATTCCCCCGGTACAGCTATTGAAGGCTTCACGAACTACGTGGTCATAGTAGATGTTAAATAATGTGGGAGCCAGAGGACATCCCTGTCGCACCCCAAGGTGTACAGGGAATGGCTCTGACTCCCGGCCACGCAGTTTTACCCGGGCCCGCTCACCATCATGAAGGTCCTTAATCATCCTGAGCAGAGGGTCAGGTACTCCAAAAGCACGAAGAACAACCCAGAGCCCAAGCCTACTGATGGTATCATAGGCCTTGACCAGGTCAATAAAGCAGAGATGTAGGTCTTGCTGGAATTCCCTACACCTCTGCTGTAGCAGACGACCAGAAAATATGGCATCTGTGCAGGACCGCCCTTTCCTGAAACTGCATTGGGGCTCTGCAAGCCTCTCCTCAGCGTGCCTGGCAAGGCGATGTTGAATAATCCTTGCCAGGACCTTTCCCGGCACACTGAGGAGTGAGATGCCCCTGTAGTTGTTACAGTCTGTGCGGTCCCCCTTCTTAAAAAGGGGGACCACCAGGGCATCCTTCCAATCCTGCAGAACCCGTCCAGTGGCCCAGACCGTTGTTATGATGTCATATAGGGCAGTCTGTGCACAAACGCCACCCTCCCTCAGCATTTTGCTTGGGAGATCATCTCTGCCCGCTGCCTTTCCTGGTGTCAGACTCCGGATCGCCTTCAGTACTTCCTCAACAGATGGCACCTCAGCCAGCCACTCATAGGGGGTGACTTCTTCCAATATTTGAGGCACCGCAGCCTCAGCAGGGTCATCCTCACTTTTTGCCACGATGTTTTCCTGGCTGAGGGATTTTCCCTCCCCCAGGACCTGACAGAAATGCTCAGCAAATCTGCAAACCTGTTCCTGGGGGTCGGAGATTGGATCACCGTTTTTTCCCCTAATGATGGTAATAGGTGTGGCGCTGCAGGTTACTTTTTTGATGGAGTTAAATAGAGATTTGTGATCACGGGCCACTGAGGCAGACTCCATCTCCTCAGCAACCCGCGACCACCACCCATCCTTGCAGCGCCTCACGGCTCTCCGCACCTCCGAGCGAAGGCTGCGGTAAGCCTCCTCATTCTCTGACGTGGGATTCTGTAGCCGATGACAGTGGGCCTGTCGCTTTTTCTCAACCATCCTGAACAACTCCTCTGTCATCCGGTCTGGACCGCATACCCAAAGCAGCCATTGCAGCTGCATGAGTCACAGTCCTAAACCTCGCCCATTTACCCTCGACATCATGAGGAGTCGGGGACGATGCCAATCCCAGCCGCAAGCGGTGATGAAATTCTCGCTTGCAACTTTCATCAGATAACTGAGACCAGGCCACTTTAGGTTGGAATGGGGTCCTGGGTGTACACCCACCACCGGAGTGGAAGAATGGCAGGCGCATCTTACAGATGACTAGTCGATGGTCAGAGGGCAGATCAGCTCCACGGTAGGTCCTGGTGTCAAGGACATGGGCTCGCATTCGCTGGTCCGTCACTATGTAGTCCAGCAGATGTTCTTGCTTGGACCCGGCATGCATCCATGATGTTGTGTGGATGCGCCGATGCCGGAACAGCGTGTTGGTAATTACAAGCCCATGGGCTGCACAAAAATCTAGCAGCCTCCTACCGTTGTTATTGAGCTGATCTGGCCCATGCCCTCCAATCACTCCAGACCAGGTGCCAGTATCATGACCAACTCGGGCATTGAAGTCACCCAACATGATGACTCTATCCCGAGGGGCCACTTTAGCCAGCACCTGTGACAGGAGGTCATAGAAGGCATCTGACTCATCGGCTTTGCCTGCATCCCTCCACGGATGTTCATCTTCGGTGGGGGCATAAGTAACCACGACCACCATTCCTCGCCTCCGGTTGATGGGAAGGCGAGCCCAAAGTAGCCTGGGGCTTACAGCTTCCCACACCTCACCGCCACACTCCCACGCCCCCTTCATTCTTTTGTTCAAAAGAAGACCCACACCCTGTTGTTTGGCAGTCTGCTGCCCCGAGTAGAGGACTGTCCACCCCTCATGGTGGCAGGAGCCAGAGCCGGTCCACCGGACCTCCTGAATGCCACATAGATCCAGGCGGTACCGGTCCAGCTCCCGATAGCGGAGTGGCAGCCTCTCCTCTGCAGTGAGCATTCGAACATTCCACGTGGCCACCCGTAGTGGTTTTTCGTTGTTTCTGGAGGAGCCCCGAGGGTAGGTATTCAATCTCCTGGCTCCGCCAATTGGGGTTTGGCCAGGAGACGTCATAGACACCTGGCCCCCCGGGGCCTCCGGCACAAGCTTATTAGTTACATATTTAAGTTTAACTCGTGGTTTAGTGGTAATTAATTGAAGGTGGAGGGGTTACCAGCCCCTCGCACCCGTCCAGAGCCCCCGTTTAGCCCCTGTGGTGGACACATATGCCATGAGGGGAGGAGCCAATCAAAATTGGACCTCCCCCACAGCACTGTCCACGACAGAGCTGCCCGTCCGGCACCGCACACACACACAGACACACAGACACACACGTGTACACACACAAACACGTACACACACACACGTACACACACACACACACACGTGTACACACACACACACGTACACACACACGTACACACACACACGTACACACACACACGTACACACACACACGTACACACACACAGTGTACACGTACACACACACACGTACACACACACACAGACACACACAGACACACACACACACAGACACACACAGACACACACACGTACACACACGTACACACATACGTACACACACACGTACACACACACACGTACACACACACACAGTGTACACACACACACACACACGTACACACACACATACACACACACGTACACACACACACACGTACACACAGTGTACGCACACACACACACACACGTACACACACACACACGTACACACACACGTACACACACACGTACACACACACACGTACACACACACACAGTGTACACACACAGGTACACACACACGTACACATACACACACACGTACACACACACACGTACACACACACACACGTACACACACACACGTACACACACACACACGTACACACACACACGTACACACACACACACGTACACACACACACGTACACACACACACACGTACACACACACACACGTACACACACACGTACACACACACACACACACGTACACACACACACGTACACACACGTACACACACACACGTACACACACACACACGTACACACACACGTACATATACACACACACGTACACACACACACACGTACACACAGTGTACGCACACACACACACACGTACACACACACACACGTACACACACACACACACGTACACACACACGTACACACACACACGTACACACACACACGTACACACACACACAGTGTACACACACACGTACACACACACGTACACATACACACACACGTACACATACACACACACGTACACACACACACACGTACACACAGTGTACGCACACACACACACGTACACACACACACACACGTACACACACACACACGTACACACACACACGTACACACACACACACGTACACACACACACACGTACACACACACACGTACACACACGTACACACACGTAGACACACGTCCACACACACACACGTACACACACACACACGTACACACACACACACGTACACACACACACACACGTACACACACACACACGGACACACACACGTACACACACACGTACACACACACGTACACACACACACACACACGTGTACACACACACGTACACACACGTACACACACACACACGTACACACACACACACGTACACACACACACGTACACACACACGTACACACGCACACACACACACACGTACACACACACACGTACACACACACACACACGTGTACACACACACACGTACACACACACGTACACACGTACACACACGTACACACACACGTGTACACACACACACGTACACACACACACATGTACACACACACGTACACACGTACACACACACACGTACACACACACGTACACACACACGTACACACACACACAGTGTACACACACACACACACACGTACACACACACACACGTACACACACACACACGTACACACACACACACACGTACTCACACACACGTACACACACACACGTACACACACACACGTACACACACACACACGTACACACACACACGTACACACGCACGTACACACGCACACACACACGCACACACACACGCACGTACACACACACACGTACACACACACACGTGTACACACACACACGTACACACACACGTACACACACACGTACACACGTACACACACACACATGTACACACACACGTACACACGTACACACACACACGTACACACACACGTACACACACACGTACACACACACGTACACACACACACAGTGTACACACACACACACACGTACACACACACACACGTACACACACACACACACGTGTACACACACACGTAAACACACACACACACGTACACACACACACACGTACACACACACACACACGTGTACACACACACACACGTACACACACACGTAAACACACACACACACGTACACACACACACACGTGTACACACACACACGTACACACACACGTACACACACACGTACACACACACAGTGTACACACACGTACACACACACGTACACACACACGTACACACACACACACACGTACACACACACACACACGTACACACGTACACACACACGTACACACACACACACACGTGTACACACACACGTACACACACACGTACACACACACGTACACACACACAGTGTACACACACGTACACACACACACACGTACACACACACGTACACACACACACACGTGTACACACACACGTACACACACACACACACACGTACACACACACACGTGTACACACACACGTACACACACACGTACACACACACAGTGTACACACACGTACACACACACGTACACACACACGTACACACACACACACGTACACACACACACACGTACACACACACACACACACGTACTCACACACACGTACACACACACACGTACACACACGTACACACACACACACGTACACACGCACGTACACACGCACACACACACGCACGTACACACACACACGTACACACACGTGTACACACACACACACACACACGTACACACACACACGTACACACACACACACACGTACACACACACAGTGTACACACACGTACACACACACGTACACACACACACACACGTGTACACACACACGTACACACACACGTACACACACACACACGTACACGTACACACACACACACGTACACACACACGTAAACACACACACACACGTACACACACACACACGTGTACACACACACGTACACACACGTACACACACACACGTACACACGTACACACACACACACACGTACACACACACACGTGTGCACCTCTCCCCCCCCGCCCCGTACCTGCCGCTCCCGCTGGTGCAGCTCCTCCGCCTGGCGGAGGAGCTCCTGGGCGTGCCGCTCCCTCCGCTGGCGCTGGGCCCGGTGCTCCCGGCTCTGCCGGCGCTCCTCCTCCTCGTGCTGCAGCGCCAGTGCAGCAGCCTCCTCCTCACGGGCACGGCGCTCGCTCGCCTCACGCTGGGGGGCACGGGGGCACGGGGCGTGTACACACACTCACGTGTGTATACACGTGTGTGTGTGTACACGTGTGTGTGTGTACACGTGTGTGTGTGTACACGTGTGTGTGTGTACACGTGTGTGTGCACGTGTGTGTGTGTACACGTGTGTGTGTGTATACTGTGTGTGTGTACACGTGTGTGTGTGTACACGTGTGTGTGTGTGTACACTGTGTGTGTGTACACGTGTGTGTGTGTACACGTGTGTGTGTGTACACGTGTGTGTGTGTACACGTGTGTGTGTGTACACGTGTGTGTGTGTACACGTGTGTGTGCACGTGTGTGTGTGTACACGTGTGTGTGTGTATACTGTGTGTGTGTACACGTGTGTGTGTGTACACGTGTGTGTGTACACTGTGTGTGTGTACACGTGTGTGTGTGTACGTGTGTGTGTGTGCACGTGTGTGTGTATACACGTGTGTGTGTGTGTACACGTGTGTGTGTGTGTGTACACGTGTGTGTGTACACGTGTGTGTGTGTGTGTGTATACACGTGTGTTTGTGTACGTGTGTGTGTGTACACGTGTGTGTGTGTACACGTGTGTGTGTGCACGTGTGTGTGTGTGTGTATACACGTGTGTGTGTGTGTGTATACACGTGTGTGTGTGTATACACGTGTGTGTGTGTGTATATACGTGTGTGTGTGTATACACGTGTGTGTGTATACACGTGTGTGTGTGTACGTGTGTGTGTGTACGTGTGTGTGTGTACACGTGTGTGTGTGTATACACGTGTGTGTGTGTGTGTGTATACACGTGTGTGTGTGTGTATATACGTGTGTGTGTGTGTATATACGTGTGTGTGTGTAAACACCTGTGTGTGTATACACGTGTGTGTATACACGTGTGTGTGTGTACACGTGTGTGTGTACACGTGTGTGTACACGTGTGTGTGTGTGTGTACACGTGTGTGTGTACACGTGTGCGTGTGTACACGTGTGTGTGTGTACACGTGTGTGTGTGTGTGTACACTTGTGTGTGTGTGTACACTTGTGTGTGTGTGTACACGTGTGTGTGTGCGTGTGTGTGTGCGTGTGTGTGTGTGTGCCGGAGGCCCCGGGGGGCCAGGCGTCTATGACGTCTCCTGGCCAAACCCCAATTGGCGGAGCCAGGAGATTGATATCTACCCTCGGGGCTACTCCAGAAACAACGAAAAGCCACTACAGGTGGCCACGTGGAATGTTCCAACGCTCACTGCAGAGGAGAGGCTGCCACTCCTCTGTCGGGAGCTGGACCGGTACCGCCTGGATCTATGCGGCATTCAGGAGGTCCGGTGGACCGGCTCTGGCTCCTGCCACCATGAGGGGTGGACAGTCCTCTACTCGGGGCAGCAGACTGCCAAACAACAGGGTGTGGGTCTTCTTTTGAACAAAAGAATGAAGGGGGCGTGGGAGCGTGGCGGTGAGGTGTGGGAAGCTGTAAGCCCCAGGCTACTTTGGGCTCGCCTTCCCATCAACCGGAGGCGAGGAATGGTGGTCGTGGTTACTTATGCCCCCACCGAAGATGAACATCCGTGGAGGGATGCAGGCAAAGCCGATGAGTCAGATGCCTTCTATGACCTCCTGTCACAGGTGCTGGCTAAAGTGGCCCCTCGGGATAGAGTCATCATGTTGGGTGACTTCAATGCCCGAGTTGGTCATGATACTGGCACCTGGTCTGGAGTGATTGGAGGGCATGGGCCAGATCAGCTCAATAACAACGGTAGGAGGCTGCTAGATTTTTGTGCAGCCCATGGGCTTGTAATTACCAACACGCTGTTCCGGCATCGGCGCATCCACACAACATCATGGATGCATGCCGGGTCCAAGCAAGAACATCTGCTGGACTACATAGTGACGGACCAGCGAATGCGAGCCCATGTCCTTGACACCAGGACCTACCGTGGAGCTGATCTGCCCTCTGACCATCGACTAGTCATCTGTAAGATGCGCCTGCCATTCTTCCACTCCGGTGGTGGGTGTACACCCAGGACCCCATTCCAACCTAAAGTGGCCTGGTCTCAGTTATCTGATGAAAGTTGCAAGCGAGAATTTCATCACCGCTTGCGGCTGGGATTGGCATCGTCCCCGACTCCTCCTGATGTCGAGGGTAAATGGGCGAGGTTTAGGACTGTGATTCATGCAGCTGCAATGGCTGCTTTGGGTAAGCGGTCCAGACCTCCCCAGACACCCTGGCTGACAGAGGAGTTGTTCAGGATGGTTGAGAAAAAGCGACAGGCCCACTGTCATCGGCTACAGAATCCCACGTCAGAGAATGAGGAGGCTTACCGCAGCCTTCGCTCGGAGGTTCGGAGAGCCGTGAGGCGCTGCAAGGATGGGTGGTGGTCGCGGGTTGCTGAGGAGATGGAGTCTGCCTCAGTGGCCCGTGATCACAAATCTCTATTTAACTCCACCAAAAAAGTAACCTGCAGCGCCACACCTATTACCATCAATAGGGGAAAAAACGGTGATCCAATTTCCGACCCCCAGGAACAGGTTCGCAGATTTGCTGAGCATTTCTGTGAGGTCCTGGGGGAGGGAAAATCCCACAGCCAGGAAAACATCGTGGCACAAAGTGAGGATGACCCTGCTGAGGCTGCGGTGCCTCAAATATTGGAAGAAGTCACCCCCTGTGAGTGGCTGGCTGAGGTGCCATCTGCTGAGGAAGTATTGAAGGCGATCCGGAGTCTGAGACCAGGAAAGGCAGCGGGCAGAGATGATCTCCCAAGCGAAATGCTGAGGGAGGGTGGCGTTTGTGCACAGACTGCCCTATATGACATCATAACAACAGTCTGGACCACTGGATGGGTTCCGCAGGATTGGAAGGATGCCCTGGTGGTCCCCCTTTTTAAGAAGGGGGACCGCACAGACTGTAACAACTACAGGGGCATCTCACTCCTCAGTGTGCCGGGAAAGGTCCTGGCAAGGATTATTCAGCATCGCCTTGCCAGGCACGCTGAGGAGAGGCTTGCGGAGCCCCAATGCGGTTTCAGGAAAGGGCGGTCCTGCACAGATGCCATATTTTCTGTCCGTCTGCTACAGCAGAGGTGTAGGGAATTCCAACAAGACCTACATCTCTGCTTTATTGACCTGGTCAAGGCCTATGATACCATCAGTAGGCCTGGGCTCTGGGTCGTTCTTCGTGCTTTTGGAGTACCTGACCCTCTGCTCACGATCATTAAGGACCTTCATGATGGTGAGCGGGCCCGGGTAAAACTACGTGGCCGGGAGTCAGAGCCATTCCCTGTACATCTTGGGGTGCGACAGGGATGTCCTCTGGCTCCCACATTATTTAACATCTATTTTGACCACGTAGTTCGTGAAGCCTTCAATAGCTGTACCGGGGGAATCTCCATATGGTACAGATATAATGGGAGGCTAATCGATGCCCGGGTGCGGTCAAGGGATGGCTCCCTATTGCTCAACCACGTTATGTATGCTGATGACTTGGTAATAGCTGCTCAGTCAGAGGAGGAGTTGGAGACGCTGCTGCTGAGACTGGAGCGTGCCACTAAGAGGTGGGGCCTTACCATCAGCCCCACCAAAACTAAGCACCTGCCTGGGTATTTTGTACCATCGGACACTCCACCCCCACAACTCCCAATCGGTGATGGGGCAGTTGTGGAGAGAGTGGAGAGTTTCCCATACCTGGGCAGTGTGCTTATGACTGGCTCCAGTTTAACAGCAGAGGTCTCACTCCGAATCAGTCGAGCGGCAATATCTTTTCATCGGTTGCGTAACGCTGTGTGGAAGCTACCTGGTCTGTCGCTCCGCACTAAGGTTCAGGTCTTCTCGGCCACGATCATTCCCTCCCTTCTCTACGCTTGCAAAACGTGGACCCCCCTAATGGAACATCTTCGCCGGTTAGAAACATTTAGGCTGACCTGCCTACGATCCATCCTGGGTTTAACCAGACTGGATTGTGTGAGGAGCTCACAAATCCTTGAAAGATCTGGGCAGGGTCCCGTCGGTGAGCTCCTCCGGCAGGCAAGGCTGCGATGGCTGGGTCATGTAGCCCGCATGCCCAGCCACCGCATGCCGAAACAGCTTTTGTTTGGCCGGATTGAGGGGGCTAAGCGGGTGCGGCACGGGCTAGAGAAGAGATGGAGTGATGTGGTACAGGAGGACGTGGAGCTGAGTGGACTTGCCGATGACTGGTACCAGCGGTGTCAAGATCGGCCTCTGTGGAGGAGGCTCGTGAAGGATGCTACTGGGCAGTTGGAGGCAGTCGCCCTCCAACAACAACGGAGGGCGGAGGAGCGACGCTCACAATAGCGAGCGGAGCGCCGGGTGGCTAAAGCACAGCAGGTTGGCACAGTAGGGGGCACAGGTGGTGCATCAGCCAGTCATCTCAGTCAGTCGACCCGTGGCACCTGGGTCTGCCCCGTGACCTCCTGCCAGCGGGCGTTCGACACTTCACGTGGCCTCAGGGTGCACATAGCCTGGCACAAGCGTCGTGGTGACGTCACCGCCACTTAGTGGCGAATGGCGGTTGTTGTTGTTGTGTGTGTGTGTTCAGGATGGTTGAGAAAAAGCGACAGGCACACTGTCATCGACTACAGAATCCCACGTCAGAGAATGAGGAGGCTTACCGCAGCCTTCGCTCGGAGGTTCGGAGAGCCGTGAGGAGCTGCAAGGATGGGTGGTGGTCGCGGGTTGCTGAGGAGATGGAGTCTGCCTCAGTGGCACGTGATCACAAATCTCTATTTAACTCCATCAAAAAAGTAACCTGCAGCGCCACACCTATTACCATCATTAGGGGAAAAAACGGTGTTCCAATCTCCGACCCCCAGGAACAGGTTTGCAGATTTGCTGAGCATTTCTGAGGTCCTGGGGGAGGGGAAATCCCTCAGCCTGGAAAACATCTTTGGACAAAGTGGGGATGACCCTGCTGACATCATAACAACAGTCTGGACCACAGGACGGGTTCCGCAGGATTGGAAGGATGCCCTGGTGGTCCCCCTCTTTAAGAAGGGGGACCGCACAGACTGTAACAACTACAGGGGCATCTCACTCCTCAGTGTGCCGGGAAAGGTCCTGGCAAGGATTATTCAACATCGCCTTGCCAGGCACGCTGAGGAGAGGCTTGCGGAGCCCCAATGCGGTTTCAGGAAAGGGCGGTCCTGCACAGATGCCATATTTTCTGTCCGTCTGCTACAGCAGAGGTGTAGAGAATTCCAACAAGACCTACATCTCTACTTTATTGACCTGGTCAAGGCCTATGATACCATCAGTAGGCCTGGGCTCTGGGTCGTTCTTCGTGCTTTTGGAGTACCTGACCCTCTGCTCACGATCATTAAGGACCTTCATGATGGTGAGCGGGCCCGGGTAAAACTACGTGGCTGGGAGTCGGAGCCATTCCCTGTATACCTTGGGGTGCGACAGGGATGTCCTCTGGCTCCCACATTATTTATCATCTATTTTGACCACGTAGTTCGTGAAGCCTTCAATAGCTGTACCGGGGGAATCTCCATTTGGTACAGATATAATGGGAGGCTGATTGATGCCCGGGTGCGGTCAAGAGATGGCTCCCTATTGCTCAACCACGTTGTGTATGCCTATGTCTTGGTAATAGCTGCTCATTCAGAGGAGGAGTTGGAGATGCTGCCGCTGAGACTGGAGCGTGCCACTAAGAGATGGGGCCTTACCATCAGCCCCACCAAAACTAAGCACCTACCTGGGTATTTTGTACCATCGGACACTCCACACCCACAACTCCCAATCGGTGATGGGGCAGTTGTGGAGCGTTTCCCATACCTGGGCAGTGTGCTTATGACTGGCTCCAGTTTAACAGCAGAGGTCTCACTCCGAATCAGTCGAGCGGCAATATCTTTTCATCGGTTGCGTAACGCTGTGTGGAAGCTACCTGGTCTGTCGCTCCGCACTAAGCTTCAGGTCTTCTCGGCCACGGTTATTCCCTCCCTTCTCTACGCTTGCGAAACGTGGACCCCCCTAATGGAACATCTTCGCCGGTTAGAAACATGTAGG